GGGAACTTCTGAGGCTTTGTATACTTGCTAGTTAAATTTTTGTGCATATTGTCAGGCTTTGGGTTAGGAAAGATTCTATTAATAAGGAAAGTTGAGTTTCTGAGACCCCAAAGGAACACTGAGAGTCTCAGGTTCCTTCCTATAAATGGAAGAACCCAAGTCATTAAAAGATAAAACTCCTGTTAGAATCTTGAATCACAAAAGGTTTACAGTATTTTCGATCCATCAACTTTCTACTAGCCATCCTGTAATGAAGCTGCATTTTAGTCTTTAGAGCCACAATTTCTGTAGCCCTGAAGTTCTTGGAGTAAGGGCATGGTGGAGGAAGGGGGATCAGATTGGGAACACTTAGAATTGATTGTCACTGTTGAAATTAAACTGCTCAGTGGATCAGTTTGAGATAATGAAAGGTCCATTCTGAGCTTCCAAACAAGGCATTGTTCTTAACCAAATCCTCATGATCAGTGCTTTTTCTTAAGCCTTGTGCTTGCTGATTTAGGTGTTTATGTGAGGCTTAATATCCATTTCCTATAGCAGGTTTTATTCAATTAAATATGCTGCCTTTGGGCAATGCCTAATTAGAGAAATTTATGTCTAGGGATAAACTTTGTATATTCAATTGTCCTTTGGTCAGCTGTTTGAGAATTTCAGTTAATATGACCGTAATTAAACTTTAAAGGCAGACAACACAAAATGCCCTATTGGTCTTGCTTCACTTCCTTTGGCTTAATCACTTATAGAAGTTGCAGTAAAAGCAAAATCTGAAACGTGCAATTTTAAGGATCATTTTAGAGTTATGATTGTAAATTACACATCAAGTTTATTCAGCTTTGCTTGTTATAATGGAATGGGCTTGGGAACCTCAGCAATTTGGCCACTGAATACATTATAGTTATTTTAACCAAGAAGCTCAATACACTGGAAATGTTCCCTGGAACTGTAATGATCTCCCTGTACCCCCACCCCTTCAGCCCTAGTGTGGAAATGCTGACTTCTGGGAGCATTTTAATCGACATCTGAAATTTTGATGAAATGCTCTTTCAGTTTTGAATTTGGCCTTTTTAAGACATTATACTGTTCAAAAATATTCCTGCTTCAGAGAATAAAATAGCTTTGGGCTGGAGTGTGGAGAACCGTTTTAAATCATTGCCAAGTCTTCAGATTTTAATAAGAATTTTTTTTGTTGTTGTTCATTTTTGAGACAATACTTTTATTTGCTGTAGTAACTTTCAGAAAGCAGTTTGATGACCAATAAAAATAATGCCGTAACTGCCAGGGATTACATCAGTTTTAAGATTATTTGCTGATAATCCAAGTAGCTTTGCATTGTATCAGGGCCTGTAATTCTCATTATTAATGATCTGAATAACTGAAGGGGGATTAACCACATGCAAAATAAATTATCGAAGGGGAGTCTTTGTGAGCAGCTTAAAATCGTTGGACAGAACAATATTTGAGGGTTATTTGTATTCTTAACCTTTGGAAAGGAAATTGTTTATTTACATTAAAGAAGTAGTGCAAGATTATGGATGGCATACTAAAAATCATAGGATGTTATTTAAGGATGATTACTGTTTGGAAGAGAGAGTCTGTGGCAGTAATTCTCAGCTGTGGTTGCAAATTAGAATTGTCACCTGGGGAGCTTCCAGAAAAATTAAATATTAAATAAAATACCCAGGCATCAGTATTGTGTTTAAAGCCACTGTGTGATCAGGATTAAGAGTCAAAGATCTATGGCTAACTGATAAATTTAAGTCTTCCAGCACCTGGAAAGGATGTAGAGGTAGGCTTTATTTCAGATCCTGTGCTAGCTTTTATAGTGACAGTCTTGTATTGAGGTCTCTATTTTTCTTCAGTTCTTATCTAGTCACTGGTCTGGAGGCAATCAGGAAACAAATTTTGTTTCCAGTGGCTTTTCATTTTCTATGACTAGCAAATACATAGGATTTTAAGATGGTGCCAGTTAAATAATTACTCTGTTAGGTTTTTTATTGAGAGGCCATTTTGGGGTATAAATTACTCGCTTTATTATTTTTTTACAGTATTCAATTTGTACTGTGGAAGTATAAATTAGGAGTACAAAAGGTTGATTTTTATCGTAAGGAAGAAATTTACATTGTTTTCTCTGTTAATTCATAAATTATAAACATACTTTTAATATTTGCCATACTTTATCATGTAGTGTGATGTCTCATTAAAATACAGTAAGTACCAGCATATTTCAAGTTTTAAGAAATGCCGTTCTTAAGGACAATTGAATGGGAAGCAGTTCAGAACAGGATGGACTCCTCTAATGAATTGCAATTCATTATGAGGTGACAGGAATCACACACTCCCACTCCAGACTACACTGCGTGCCATCCAAATGGGAATTTTTAAAATGATTTCTACTTAGCGTTTCTCTGCTTTGGCAAAGACATCTACATTACTCAAAATCAAAGGAAGTAACAGCACTGTTTTAACACTATATCGGCAGCAGGTGGACAATCACGGTAAATTTACATGAGTTCAGCATTGCTTTTTTTTTTTTTTTTTTTTAATGTGAACCAAATATTATTATACGGTTACAGGAAATTCCACCGGATATTGCAAGTTCATAAGCTTTTAGGATGAAACAGGCACGGAAAAGTCACCTACTTCATACTACCCTATCCCCAGTCCTCAGGCACTTCTCAACCCAAACCTGTTTGGGTAATTTTGGAAAATGCTCAGAAGTGGACATTCTGCAGCTTCTTTCAGGCTTCTGTTTCATCATTTAACAACAGTCACTGCCAGGATCTGCACACACATAACCGTAAACCTGCATAGTAATTTCAGTCCATTTTCTCCAATTTAATGGAGGTAGAGGTCACCTAGGCCTTATTCAGAAAAGATTAGAGAGATGATGTAAGAGGAAAGCTCTTAGTAAAACTGGAAATATCATTCAAATGTAGGGAATTCATAAAAATATCAATGTGCCTAAAAAATTGTGTTGTGCCTTGTCCTTTTGTTCTTTGGCACAGACTATAGAAGTCAATTCAGAATTGGGAAAGCACTTGTCCATTTTTAAGTTAATCAGTGGTTGCTGTAATTGAGGGGAAAAATCCATAATGGCATCACACGACATATCTTACTTCACTGATTCTCTAACTCCTTTTCAACTTGTAGAATTAACTAAGAACTTGTATAAAAGGTAACTCTGCCTCATTTACTGTACAGCCACTTCTTGATTGTGTGAAAAACTAAACAGCCATATGAATATTAAAGGTTGCAAATGACAATGTATATGTGGACTTGACATTTTCTGTGATTCAAATTGGTATGTTATAAGAGTCAGGTCTGTTTTGGAGACCACAGAGAGGCCTTAACCTGCAACAGAAGGTGGGAGCTGGGGTGAAGCCAAATAAACTATACATCTGGCAGGTGCATATGCTTTCACTTTAAGTTTTACAAAGTGGATATTATGGAAAATTTGGTGCTCTTACCTATAAGCTGTGTCAGAACTTGTGTATTACAATTGCAAACAGAGAAGTAAGTCGCTAAATCAAAGCTATCACTTGGTGAAAATATTGTTGGTTTTTAGGAACTGTGTGAAATTTTACCTATGAATCATTTACTCTTAGTTTGCGGAGGACCTTGGACAATCAGTTGTTCTAATGCCTTGTCTTTGAGCAGGCAGATAAATAACTAAGCTATCTAGCATAAATACTTACTGACTTTTTCCAGGTCTCCAGGGATCCCACAGATTCCCTTAGCATATGCCAGGGTAGCTTTCCAGAGTTACATACAGCCTGAATCTCTCTCCTATTTCAGTTTGTCCCAGTTACTTGTTGCATGATTCTCTACAAATTTTGAAGGCAATATCATAAGCCTAAATGAAAATGCAAGGCAAGGAGGTTTTATCTATACTTTGGGGTGATTTTTATTTTTTAAAATAGAGAAATTCTTTTCTATATAATGTCTACCTAAGATGCACAAATTCAGACTGGAATACATTCGGACATTGTAGATGATTGGAAGACTACAAGTTCTTAGTAGTCTTGCTTAAAATGATTACTTTGAGAGTGGGATTTAATCTTTGACCTTTAAATAGATCATTGAAAGGAAGGAAGATCTTTGTGACTACATATATTAAAACATTTTAGGTTGGGGAATTATATTTCTAAAAAATAATGGGAATATATAAATGGATATTGGTTTCTATCATACATCCTTTGACTTAAGTATGAGGTAAGTCTCAGATATGGTCATACAGTACCATAAAAGGAGACTGTCTTAAACTTATGTAAGAAAAGGGTATTATCCTGATTTAAGCAAAGAGAGTGAGGCCTCAGCAGAATTAAAAGAGTGGGATAAAATGGAGCCAAATCTTGAAACTTTTAAATTCAGTGAGTCTACTTATTAAAAATGTAAAAGGGGCATGAGAAATATATTGTGTGAAATGGGACTTTACAACAATAAGGCTCTGAGAGATTGCAAAATACACTCTATCCTATAAAGCCAAATAATTACAGTTGCCTTGTACAAAAAGTTGATCA